TTGCATGAGTATGTTTGTTGAGATCCCACGAACAATGCGGTTGACTAATCACTTGTAGTGCCCGAGGATGGTCTTGGTCTGCATTTGTGGACACTCGATGCCGAACATCTAACTTCATATTTCAAGGTACTTGGTCCCGACATAACATGGACTATCCAGGCTAACGTTGGCTTCAGCACATCTATTCGACAAATGCTGCGTACACCGCAAGTACAGCCCTGATCAAACTCTCCATTCTCATACAGTATCTCCGACTCTTTGCCGAAGCCGCGCCCTCAACGACTACCGCTCAGTATCGACTCGCACGTCGTATCACCTGGGGCATGATATTGATATGCTCACTCTGGGGGTTGACCTTCTTCATGCTCGCGCTTTTCCCCTGCAACCCCGTGCGTAAGAACTGGAATCCAACATTAGAGGGCACATGCATCGGATGGGGCAGCAAAGACCCTGCCGACTTCTTCCACATGTTCTTAGGACATGCTGTTAGTAACTGCTTGCTGGATATTATGGTTCTTCTAGTACCCCTCCCTTTCGTAACCACACTAAGGATTGCGGGTAAAAGCCGAGCAGGCTTAGTTGGTCTGTTTAGCTTGGGCTGTGTGTAAGTGGATAATGAGCTCCCAAAAAGGCCTCCTACTGACAATTCACCAGTGTCGTCATCGTAGCTGTCGGCCGCATGATCGCTATGTCTGTTAACAAAGCTGGTACCAAGCCTATCCTAGACATGTCCTTCCATACACCCATCGTGTACATCTTCGCTGTCCTCGAAGTCAACTTTGCCATCATCACAGCCTCTATACCCATCTTCTGGCCCGCCATAGCAACACTGGCATCCAACAAGATCTTTGTCGTCAACGAGGTACAGATCCACGTCGAACATGTCACAAGAAACGATAGCTTCGACTCCACCGGCGGCATCAGCCTCAGCGACCGAAAGATACAATCGTCAGGCGGGGATAGCAAGATGGGCGTTGTAACTACAATTTCTGATCGAGCACCGCCTCGGAAGTCCGGCGAGAAGTCATCCACTCATCATCATCACAAACCAAGCACTGCTTCATCCGTCGGTCCAACTACCGGCTTTGGAGGAGGACGGAAACCAAGCACCGCCTCATCTGTAGGCCGAACAATGGGCATGGACCTCGCGGGCCGCCCCAGTCAAGAATCGTCACGCCACCTATACCGCATCCCCAGCAATGAGAACCGGAGCTCGAAGAGCCTGACGCAGAGCGAGGGTGACGACTGGTTCATGGAGATGGACAGGGCGAATTCACGCGGACAAGTAACGACAACGGTTGAGAAATCCTCGGTTCCATTCGAGCACCTCAAGACGTCGGATAAAAAGTAAAAAGCCACATGTTGGAAAGGGGCGGAGGTGGGAAGGATTTAGTACATGTCTTTGGTAATGTCTTTTGCGTGATACCCTGCAGCAATGCAATATGCAACATCTATCTTTCTTGTACGCAGCACATACATTAGATGAGTGTGTAGCAATGTAGTCATCTAATTCATTCTTCACGATTCACACATTGGGCACCTTCGTTCGACTTGCTCACGTGGATCGTTCGGTCTTGGTATGCACTCCCAAGACGCCGCGGGGCCGCAACAATGGTTATCGGTCCGAACTAGGAGTGCGATGGGGTCGATGGATACTGTACTGATTCAATCACCGATGGTTCCCCCGCAGAGATGCCGTGTTGGATCTCAATAGAATCGCGCACGGTGCTGTTGTTCGTGTTGCTCCTGCTTGCCGCTTACCGCGCTTTCTCCGTTGTATGAGCGTTGGAGTTTTGGGTCGAATGGAGGGTTGTCCGCCAAGGGATAGTTCTCGACCATTCATCTTCTTCCAGTCACACACATCAGCGAGCATCTAAAAGCATAAAATCTGTGAGGCTTTGGCCCCGCTTGTGTAAAGTTTGGCCTTGCGTCTACGGTACTTTTATCTCCACATGGAGAGCAGCACATGGTACATGGGTAGTGTACCTACTGCGCAGTCTGCTCGTCGAAAACAAACACACCTGGGTGGTAAGATACTGTACATTCGATTACGACGCTAAGGTAAACTATCGGGTTGCTGTCCCGATCGAATGTCGTATTTTAGATCGTGTGCTCACATGCCGTTTCGACGCGGCAGCTGCAGGATAAGCTCTGCGCGGCGTCAGCGGCGTCAGTGCTACTAACCCGTTCGGGCGACGCGCTGAGGCTTCGGACGCCTGAATAAAGCATGGCAAAGCTTGAGGCTGGACGCAACTTCCCCCTCAATATCCACGAGGAATTCTATGTTTGACAACCGCTGATTACCGCTATTTCTTGTGAGCGGTAATAGAACTTAATCCCGAACGCCACAGTATTCCAGAAGGCAAAGGACGCGTAACCTTGGATAGATTTGTAGTCCCAACGGCTGTCTTGCTCGGTATCTAGGTATTCCCGGCGGAAATATGCACCTGCTTTATCGAGTAACAGCCGCTCGTGGGCCTCCAAATCCTACGCCACAAGTATTGGGAAAAGCTTTCTTCCATTGTGAATGGTCCAATGCTTTCGACAGGACTGCACCAAGCCCGATGCGGCTTCGAGTAAGGGTGATCACAGGGTCTTTTGCAGTGAGTGGCACAACAGCCGTACCAGGGTAGATCGATCTTGAGTGAGAGCCGTTAAAGTTTGAGCGGTCTGCCTACGAAAGCTTATCTTCTGCTTCTACGACGCTCTTGCTATCCTACTACGCTGGCAATCGTGACGCGACACCTCGCTTGATCGCATTCTGGTTGAGCCACACGCGACACTACAATGGCTTCCGCTGCGGAAACCCAATCAGGCCCGTACAATGCAACTGACGCGAAAGGCGACATCGAACGTAGAGGCAGCGTCGCAAAGACAGAGAAAGGAAGGTGGGAAAGATTGTGGCCCGTTATCGCATGCGGCGCTGGTCTTTTCAGCGATGGCTACCTCAATAATGTACGCAGAACTCGATCCAAGAAGCGGCAGTGAGACATTTCCCAATGCGACAACCACAATCCCCATTCCAAAGCACCACCAAGATATTCGAGTCGAGATCTAAACTGCAAGAATACAAATGCTGATACAGGGATTTCTAGATTATCGGTCCAGTGAACACGATGCTCAAGACAATCTACCCAGACTCGTATGCGAACTCTTCGGCCCAAGCAAATGTCTCGAGTATAACTTTTGCGGGTACGGTCGTGGGCATGCTGTTCTTCGGGTATACTTCTGATCACTTTTCTCGGAAGTGGTCGCTGTTTACGTCAACCATTATCATCATCCTCTTCGCCATCTTAGGTACGGCGTCATACGGAGCTGGAGGTAGTCCAAGTGGATTATTGACGGCGCTCGTTGTATACCGTTTCTTCCTCGGAATCGGTACGTGAGACTGCAGTTGTTTCTTCTCCATAAATATACTGACTTGTGACAGGTATTGGTGGAGAGTATCCAGCAGGCAGCGTGGGCTGTGCAGAATCCACCGGCGAACTCAAGCAAGGCACCCGAAACAAATGGTTTATCCTCTTCACCAACGTGCAGATCGACCTAGCATTCTTCATCAGCGCCATCGTCGCGACCGTCGTTGTCCTCGCTACAGGCGAAGACCATCTACGAGCCGCCTGGCGTATCTGCCTGGGCATCGGAATCATCCCACCTCTTTCGCTGCTATACCTGCGATTGAAGCTACAGGAGCCTGAGGCGTTCAAGCGCGAGTCGCTGGCCAAAGCGAAGACACCATGGTTGCTTATCATCAAGTACTATTGGTTCCGCCTCAGTATCGTCAGCATCATCTGGTTCATCTACGACTTCAGCGCGTACTCGTTTGGTATCTACGCCACGTCCATCTTGGCCAATCTACTAGGCGAATCGGCACCGCTGTGGAAGAGTCTGGCATGGAACATCCTCATCAATTTCTTCTATATGCCCGGTTGCCTTGCTGGTGCTTTTGTCGCGGATTTGCCTTCCATGGGCCCTAAAAAGACTCTGTTCATCGGCGTGACCTTGCAGGGTATTATCGGGTTCATCATGGCTGGATGCTATCCTTGGTTGAACAAGCCTGAGAATGTCGCTGGGTTCGTCGTGGTGTATGGTGTCTTTCTTGCGCTGGGCGAGTTTGGACCGGGCGATAACATTGGTTTGGTTGCTTCCAAGACTTGCGCGACGGGAATACGGTACGTTATCTTGCCACATCTTTGGAGAAGCTCTTGTTTCTAACGTCTTGACAGAGGACAGTACTACGGTATCGCAGCAGCCGTGGGCAAGATCGGTGCATTCGCTGGCTCCTATGCCCTCGACGCGCTACAGAAAGCTGCAGGCGATGATGAAATCGCTGCCGGTCGCAATCCCTTCTTTGTGGCTTCCACTCTCGCCTTCGTAGCTGCTGGGCTGGTATTGCTTCTTCCACACATCGGCCAGGATACAATCGATCAGGAGGACGTGCGGTTCAGGGAATATCTCACAGCTAATGGCTATGATACTAGCAGCATGGGCTTGAAGAGTGCAGATGCGGCAAGTACTGAAAGCGACGACAACGGCGCTGTGCCGGTTGAACAGACGTATGGAAAATAAGTAAGGCTCATTTGTAAGACAACAATGGTCGATGACAACGACAGCTTTAGGTAGCAAGAACCCGTCTTCATACGAATTCATCTTCGCTACAACCCACCATCCCAAGACCACTACCGTTCTTTGCCAACGATCTGTATGCACGCTCAAGAATAGGACAGCTCTAGAGCTCCAGAGCCATAAGTGCCAGCACGTGCTAGGACGACACGCTAGAAATCTTCCGGCCTAGCGCATTCTCACACTACCGAGGCTATCTGCAAAGCCGGAGAACCTGGAAGCTACTACAACCCACGTCACTAGCAGCTCCCCACCATGCACGAGAGACGACAGATATACCATATCCCAGTCCACTTGATCCTCACTGTGCCGCCTTAAACTGGGTATCCCGCGTAATACTATTATACAACGGATACGTGGACGAGCCCATCTCACGTGCAATTGGGCACATTTACTCAGGTACCTCGGATCACTATTCCACCAAAGCAGGCTTGGATATCTAGGCAAAGACATACCGAGCCTCTTCGGCAATATGGAACTAGATGGAAGGAGAGTGGAACAAGCCGTGGTATCCCCACACAGAGGAAGAGACTGCGTCTTCGTGTGGACCCTAGTAGGCCTGAATGCGTGTAGTTGAGCCCATCGTCCGGGCACTCTGATTCGAAGGGGAAGCAGTAATAAAGACCAGCACGATATCTTCTATTGACCAACTACCAAAGAAAAAATTGACCCAACACCCTCACCTCATAAACACATATCCGTCATTTCAAATCTCGAATCCAGTCCACCCACCATGTCGCCCGCAGCCGTAACCTCGACCCCTCCCAGCACAACCCCCCACACGAACGGAAAATCGTCTACCAAACCCATCATAACCCCTTCTTCAACAACCACCTCCCAAATCCCCGCATGGGTCCAACCCGACCTCACCCGTCTCCTCCGCGTAGAGCACAACCCAGGCTCCTTCACCTCGCGCTCCGTCTCCCTTGTCAACTTGCCTCCCGGCGCAGTCTTCGCGCGCATCACAAAGCCCACGCCAGCCACCGTAGCGTACTCCTCCGTCCAAGCCTCGCGCGACCTGCACATCGAGCTGAACTGCGACCTCGTCTATATAAACCACAGCTGCAAGCCCAGCCTTGTATTTGATATGCAGCGCTGGGAAGTCAGGGTGTCTGAACAGGGGGAGGGTCTTAAGGAGGGTGATGAGTTGACGTTCTTTTATCCGAGTACGGAGTGGAGTATGGCTCAGCCTTTTGAGTGCTTGTGTAAGACGGAGGTGTGTGCGGGCGAGATTAAGGGTGCGAAGGATATGGGGAGAGAGGTGTTGGGCAGGTATTGGTTGAACGCGCATATTGAGGAGATGCTTGCTGAGAGGGATGGGCAGTAGGAGGAGGTTGATGGGGATGAGAGTTGTAACGAGGTGTAGAAGTAGAGCGTGAAGGAGTTGAGTAGAGGGCGGTTGCTGAGATTCGGTCTTGAATTAGTTTGTATGACGAAGAGTATGGAGATAAGGGTACTATGATCATCGACACGAGAAATTATTCTATGTCATACGGATTCCCCGTGCTTGCTTGTCGTACAAGTCTGACATCCTTATTTCCACTCTCAGCACCCGCCTAATATTCTCCACAGTGACCTCCGTGAACCCCTCCCCAAAAACCCTCCCATCCGCTATTTTTTCTTGCCAATTTTTCCCTTCCGCCCTGCTACCTTTAACATGATAAAGCACGTCCTCGGCCTCATCCATCAGTGCTTCAAAGCCAAACCCTTTCTCCTCTTTCTCGCTATCACCATGGTCGTGTAGGACGCGATATCTCCTCAACACGCGCTTCGTCCGCTCTGGAATATGGAGAGAAGGCCGAGAAGAGAATTCGTCTCTGAGGCAGTATAACACTGTTTTGGATATGGAGAACGAGGTACAGAGGCAGACGGTACGGAGAGTAGAGTGAACCACTCTTGTTTGAGTGATGACCCAGACTGTTGATGGGAGAAGGCTGAAGGTTTCGTCGCTGGGGGTGGAAGAAATGGGGTGTTCAAGGTCGGGACGTAGCCGTGAGTATGCTCCCGTTGTAGACAGATTCTTGTCTTTTGGATTGATTGTCCTTGGTAGCTTTTCGTTCCTCTGGGGCTCTCAACATCGATTCTCTTGCCAGCGGTGTCTTGAAGCCATCGCCATTCTTCTGGTGCTGCGCGGCTAAGGAGTGTGCGAGCGTCATATTTTGAAGGTCTTCTTCCATGGATTGGATGCTGTTCTCTTCACGGCTTCGCTGAGACATGACCGAGATTGATGCTAGAGATATGGGGTGTGCAGGTGCAGTGATTGGCGACAGGTAATTTGTCCAAGCGCCAGGAGCAGGATTATGTATGGACGAAGGGAAAGAGCACTACTCCAAAATGGCGGGGTGGTGATTGATGGAAAATGGTGTAGAGTAGTCCGGTACTAGGAATAATTTTACGCTTGCTCGCTGCCTAGGTGACCAGCTGAGAAGATACCAGACTCTGTAGTCGTCTCATTTCTAGAAAGACGTGTTAAGATCATCTGTAAGCACTCTCCGGATGCGGCAAATCAACCTGTTCTCCCATTAGCCTACTCTCCTCTCTAACAGCCCACGCCTGTCCCCATCACATCAACATACCTCATTATACCTCCCCTGATAAGCCGTCGGCCTCCTATCATCCATCTCAACACTCCAAACCTCGCCCTCATCCTCATCCTCCAACTTGCGATACCTCCCCTTCCTGCCTGGCAAAAAGTTCAAACTCTTCTCTGCATCCATCTTCGCCGCTCTCTTCTTTCGATCGCGCTTGTTCTTGCAGATGACGAGAGTGATGATGAGGCAGAACATGCCGACGGTAGCGAGGATGGAAAGGATGATGACGACGATGAAACCGCGTTTTTCGCCCGGATTCTGAAAGATGGAGTTGGTATCTCGGGTGTGGAGAGGGGTGGGAGACATGGTGGATGTGGCGTGGTCGTGGTAAGGATACCTAGGTAGGACGGGACGGGGTTATACGGTTGGTGTGTTGGCTTGTGATATTGTCGCTACGAAAAGAAGGAACTGGAGTTATGGCTCCAGGTTGGAGGAAGTCGCAACACACGATATAAACACCCTTACTTCGCCGAAAGCACTGCCTACACAGCCGCCTCCTCACGACACCGCCTTGGTGGCCTCACCCTCTTCGTGATCCTCCCCAGGATGGCACTCCTCCCACGCTCCACCCGCACCGCCTTAAAATAGCGACGTGCGCAACACCTCCTGCCAATCGCAATAGTTCAAGGTACGCACCGTTCGGGTGTGACGCGGCGATGTGAGCGCGGTGCCTGTATGTACCCAAGTAATTTTGTGTCTGTACATTGGGACCGAATTACCGATAACTGGATCATCTACAAGAGATGAAACTGGCAGAAATTGGCATGTACAGAAATTGTGAAGATACATCCATCAAATTGGTTGCGCAGCCGGGGCAATGAATCGTAAGTTTATAGGGGGCCTCGAACGCTTAGATCATCGTGGGAGCGACGAGACGAGATGAGATGTGGGGGGCCTGGAGTCGTGGTCAGCCTCACCGATTCAGCGGCTATTTCAAAACGCCTCCGTTCACACAGCGACTTTTATGCCAAGTCATGATATCTCCTGGAAAAAGCTGTACTAGGATGAGCCGGGTCAGGGCGGAGAGTGGTTTGAACTGAAGTCATTCGAAATGTGAGATGAGCGTAATGAATGATTTGATAAAGATATGCACCGAATTCTATGTACTGATTTGAATAGCCGAGACCAACGCCAGGAAATGCACATGCTATGTACACCCCAACCAAGAAAAACAACAGAATCATTTTCATATCCCCCAAACACCCTCATTACACGTATGCTCAATGAAAAAGGCAGGCCGAGGCCCGCCACACAACATCCAACCCCCTTCACCATCCCCATCTACATCCTCCTATAATTCTCCGCCAATCCCTCAAACTGATCCAGCCCCTCCACCCCATTACCAGGACAACTCCAATCGCGCTCATACGCCTTATCGGGCAGAATCCCCGCCTCGCGCCCCCGCCTATAACTCCACTGCGTACTACTTTCCGTCTCCCACGTCCAGTAAAACCAGCCCCAACCAGCTTCGAACGCATCCATCTGGCCAATCGCAAACTGGTACAGCCACTTCTTGTACTGGTCAGAATAGTCCTTCGGATCGGCATTAGCCTGGTCGCAGGAGCACTGCGACGACTCCAGCGGACACTGCGGAGCGAGGACAGCGCCGGATTTGCCGTCTTGAGCTTGTAACGTGCCTTCCCAGCGTGTGCCCGTGTTGACGTTATTGATGTATTGCGTGCAATCTGTGTCTGCCTGGGACCATTCTCCGCACATGGTAGGACCGAAACCGGTTTTCTTGTCCATGGAGCGCTTGCTTTGTTGGGTCCAGGCTTCGCAGGCGAAGTTGAGCTTGTCGCGGTGCTCGAGCTTGATTTGGTCCGTGTTGAAGATGACGTATTGGTGGACGTCGAGGAGGAGGTTTTCGTTGCCTTGCAGCTTGCCTTGCCAGTTGTCGAGGCCCATGAAGCCGTCGCCGAAGACGATGATGCCTTCTATGCCGTCGGCGCGGATTTGGTCGATGGCTTTTTGGGTCCAGGCGACTACCTTTTCGGTGTCGAGTTCTACGTTGCGGGGTTCGTTGACGAGGCCGTACATGGTGACTACGTTCTTGTATCGATCTTGGGCGAAAAAGACGGAGAGCTTATGGTGGACGTCTAGGGTGCGTTGGCCGTTCTTGTCGCCGTCTGTGCCGTTGAGCCAGTTGATTTGGCCTTGACGACCAGAGTGGTTCCAGCCGTTTTGACTACCTGGTGCGCCGTGGAGATCAAGGTTGACGCGGAGCCCATTTTGTCGACAGTACTCGATACCGCGTAGGAGGTAACGCCAGGCTACTTGTGGTACGTAGACGTCGTCGTCGTATGTCTCCACGATCCAGTAGCCGAACGGGAAGCGAACGTGATCCATACCGGCCTCTCTGATCTCCTGGAAAGTCTTCTTGTTGATAAAGGTAGAATAGTGCTTCTCCATAGTATCTTTTGCCTTTGCAGGTCCGAGCTTGCTCAGGAACGTCCATTCGTCGACTACGTTGTCTTTGGACCCATACTGAGAGAAGTAAGACGGCGTAATGAAGGGCTCGAGGTTGAGCCAGCCACCGACGTTCACACCACGAATAGGTGTCTTGCCGTACTCAAACGAGTCTGAGAGTTTCGGAACAGAAGGATTTGCTTGAACATCATCGTCCCAGGAGTCGTTGAGACCGATGACTGGGAGGCCTCCGACGAGTTTGTTGGTGTAGGTGACATTGAAGTCATCGGTATCGTACCATGCCCATGGGTCCAATATGCCACCGCGATCCGCTTCTGGTACGCTGTTTCGGTCCTTCCCGGCTAGATTGTCGTTCTTTGGCCCTGATGAGGCGGCAGCGGATCCGGTCCCTGAGCTTTCGTCATCTTTGCCTCTGCTTGAGTGTAACGCAGCAACGGGTATGACGATAGCTAGGATTATCACGACGCAGACAATGCCGAATATTATACGCTTCTTCTTCTTCTTTCGTGCCAGCTCCTCTTCTGTGTACACGGTTGGCGGACCACTGCCCGCACCTCCGCGCTTCTCCATCATGAACCGATATTCGGAATCGTCGTCGATGCCACCCTCTTCGGCCAAGGGTCCGCTGATAACGCGCCGCTTCTTCTGCTCTGTGCGGTGTTGCTTCTCTTGCCGTCTCCGTTCCCTCCGCTCGTCGGCTTCTGATGGTGTGTATTTCGACTCGTGCTTCCGTCTTCGCTCCTCCCGTTCATCTTCCGTGTATGCGCCTCTTTTTCTTTCGAGCTCATCGTCGGTCTGACTTTGCTTCAATGCAGCAGCCTTCCGTTTCTCCTCCCGCCGTTTCCTAGCTTTCTCCTCAAGCAATGCGGCATCGCTTTCTGCAGCACGTCGTCTGGCTTCCTCTTCTTGCTGTTCTTTCCTCTTCTCCGCTCGCTCATGCTTGATTCTCTCCTTCTCCAGGTCCTTCTCCTTCTTCCTGACTTCTTTCAGGTATTCATCGTCGTAGTCGTAGGCTCCCCAGCCCCCAGCCTTCTTCGCATTGGTCTTGTCGAGCTTCGCTAACGCATCGAGACTCAGAGGAGCTGAGCCTCGACTTCCCCTCCCACTTCCGTCTGTTGTAGAATTGCGCCTCGACCCCCGCGCTTTGCGTGGCGCCGGGGATTCCTGCTCCGTGTCACTTTGGTGTCTCGACCGCCGAGGCGGTTTCGGGAGTAGGTCGCCTGAAGAGTCTGTTGCCCTGTGTCCCTTTCTCCGTCTTCCTTCCCGATCGTAAACCGCATCGTCACCGCGAGATTCTCTCCTTCGTCGTCGCTCAGGATCTACGTCGCCGTGGGATTCTCTGCGCCGTCTTCGTTCGTCGCCTTGTGGCCGTCTACGCGACGCAGTGCGCTCGCGGTCGCTCATCGAAAAGATCGGGTGGTCGTGATAAGTATACGTGCTTCAAGCGAAAGCGCGGTGTAGAAACGTGGGGCCGGGATGCACTTCATAAGATAGCTGCAAAAGCATGCAAACAATAAAAAATACGTTCAATCGTGTCTGCCACCACCCGGGCGCATGTGATTATCGGTAGCGAATATGTATAATCGGCGGCTGGACACATGCACGAGGTTGGGCTTGCTGGGATGCGGTGTCGTTGCTGTGGTGATGAGGTGTTGATGTCTGGCCTGACGTGGCCGAGCGCTGGGCGCCACAAGCCGCTTGGATAGCCATCTTGGAACAGCGACAAACTTGGACACAGAACACGGAGTCGGTCCTGTGTGAAGGTTATTGATATCTGACAAGGCGGGTATCACAGGCGACCAAGTTCTCAGCACACATTCGGAACACTTGGTAACGCAAAGCGCTGCGTATGCCTTGGTGGCTGTGTCACGAACACAAACAGAGCGCACAGCACACTCTCTAGAATGCAATGGCTTGTCACATACTGCCCAGCATTTTCTCGAGAATGCCATCGCGTCATGCACAAATTACCCAATCTCGACGAGGCCGTTGAGTCCCTGCGCCCTGAGATCAGCAACGGCAGGGAAGGAAGATGTGCCGCCAACTCGCTTCAGCGGATGACATCATAGCCCCTGTAATGATAGACAAGCCCGCCCGTGGACCTCCACGCTCCGTTACTTGGTGCAATTCGTAAAGATTATCGTGCATTGTTGAGTCTGTGTGTGGTATCATAGCTGGAAATATACAAAAACAATGCGCCAATGGTCGTAGGGCTCATCCTGACCCTTTTCCCTTTTCAGCCAACCAAGCCCGTGAAGGCCCACCCGTGCCTCTCTAACAAGCCGGTTTTGGGTGATCGTGACGATTTAATGAGAGTACCGCCTCTATAACGCCAATTCAGTTTGCCACCCAAAGATCACGGACGTGCGTTGTTCGCAGCGTGCGGCGCGGCAGTCCTGTCGGAAGTGGTGGTACATGCGGTTCTCGAAATGCGAAGGGGTCATAGCAGTTTCGTGAGTGAGCTTGTTCAAGAAGCTGAAACACTTTGTGAGGACCCTGTAGCGTCAGAGGATGCTGTCTTTTTCCCTTTGTCTGCTACTTTCTTCTCGTCGTCGCTGTAGAGGCCGTGTTCGTAGATGTAGTCGACGACCTTGTCGGGGATGTAGTAGCGGATGCTCTTACCCCGCTTGCGGAAAAGCCGGATCTTGGTGGACGAGACGTCGTTCTGGATGAGTTGCGGGATCACGCGGATGTTCTCCCTCCACTGCTGGAGCTGTACAAGCGCATCATCTGTGGCATGTTAGTGGTTGTAGAGATTTATGCGAGGAGGAACGTACCAATGTCAGTACCGCTGCGCTCGAGGATGAAGGCACCATAGTGGCCCAGAATCCTGCTCAGATCCTCGCGAGCCCAAAGACCGGGTGTGCTCATGGTCTGGA